CCCCCCCCCCCCCCCCCCTGTCAACCAACTCTTTTATGCCTCTTTTTGGTACTAAATAAACCTTAATGCAAACATTATATCTAATTTAAAAAAAAACCTATATGAATCAGTGAGTCACGTTTGGTTGAAATTTTTAGAACAGAAAATGCATATTTCGCAGTGCTCAATGATTATAATGCTGATTTCACACATATGTCGTTTCTAATGATCATTTCAAGAAAAAATTGTACGATAACTGCATGTATGTTTTTTTTTTTTCTTTTCAGAGACATTTTTTTGTTTTTGGCTGAAACAATGGTTATATGCCAAAGAAAATATGCTTGTTTATTGGTGTTCGAGTGGATCTGATAATGGCGACAATATTCTTTGATGCAGTAAAAGCTGAAAATTACAAAAAATAATTAATTTGATAAACTATTCAAAATGTTCTATAATGAGAGCTTTAGTTGTTTTGAAAAGTTGAGATTGACTAAATCAGAACGTTTATTTGCTGGAATTCTGTATACAACTTTGACAACAATTTCATTGTTGTTAAACTGTTTGGTAATCTGTGTTATTTTGGAAGAACGAAAAACAACACTTAAGCTTGTCGTTTATAAAATGGTCATTTCGCTATGTGCATCATCGATAGTTTACGTTTGCTGCAATTACATTGTAATGCTGCCATGTACGTTTCGTGAATGCATCAACTATTCGGATACATTAATGGTGACTGTATCGGCATTTAATACTGTTGGCTACTATACATCATCTTGGACTTCTCTGTATATTGCTTTTGAGCGTATAACACTGTTTGTTTTGCCACAAATGCATAGGACAATTGAAAAAATATTACCAATTTTTGTCAGCCTTCCCTGGATGATTGGTTTGGTCATCACTGCTAGCACAATGGCTATAGGATGTTATAAAAGGTAATCTTTACTACCGCTATTATAAAACTATAATTCTGTTATCAATAAACACGTTTTGGTAACAGTTATTTAAGATATTGTTGCTTTTTAGATTAATTATTAAGGTAATACCCTCAAAAAAATCTGAACTTTCTCGGAGCCATCTACATCTGATGACCAGTAATGTACTTGTACAGAGGTTTCCTTCACTCTCTTTCGACACTGTACTGTTACAGAATTGCTGCTCTGTTAAAACATGAAAACTGCTGACAAAGGTTGAAAATAGGCTATAATTTTAGGTTCAACACTTACACTAGCACTTACGGATTTCACTGTTCCTCATGTACGATAAATGGATTTTCAGTCATGAAATCTCTATTTTGGACCAGTCAGTTTTTTACTCTATTAATGTTTGTCGGCTATTTGAGTATTCTATGTAAATTTGAATTCTTAGAACAAATTGGCAAAAAACATTGGATACGAAAAGAGATAAAAGTGGTGAGTGTTTTTAAAATTTAAATGTGTTTACAATCTTTTAAAGTTTTTTCTATATATATTAAATAAAACAAAACCGATCTTTATAAAGACTTGAAGCGTAGAACTAAAATTTAGAAAATTTGCCTTAGATGTTTATTCACTAATAAGTATTTAAAAAATTTATAAAATTTATTTACTATATAATCTAAATACATAACTTATCAAAACTATTTTTTAGATTATACAATTTTTGGTTATATGCATTTCTCAGTGGTTTAGCAGTTTTTTTTTCTATATGGTGCCATATGTTTTCAACACGTCTTACGAGGTAGGTGCAAACTGTTATGTAAATTTTGAATAAGACATATTTTTATTGTAATAACTTTTATTTTTGTAAGTTTTTAGAAGAAACTTACTTTAATCTTGCAGGGTTCATTGGCTCTTAATATTACGAGTATTGGAAACACAGCAGCAAATCCAATTATTTTGTTAATCTTTAACAATACAATGCATAAAGGTCTTCGGTCACTGTTAAGACTAAGAAAAAATGCTATACATGCACAAATAGTGACTAATGTTGCTCGTATTGGTCGAGCGGTTAATTTAGGAGACAAAAACTTAAACAGATCGCTTTTTTCAAAGATTTCTGATTCCACTCTTTG